CTTGGACATGGCAGGGACATTTGCAGTGCTGCGGGATTCGTGGGCAGAGCTCCCTTGGGCACAAGCACTAACGCTGAGGGATCTGCCAGCAGGCCGGATTCACAGCCCATGGGGAGGGCAGGATTTGGTCCACCATACCCAGGGTAATACTTTCAAAGCTGGAAGACTCAGCAAGCCTTTTATCTGCAAAAACTTTCAACCTTTTAAAGACAGAGACTATTTATTTTGCCACTATTCAGCGTTAAATGGGCAGCAAGTCTCTGAGAATTGCTCTAAGAGCAGACACGGATGCCAGTGCTAAACAAATATTTCTCTCCTAGCAGGGAAAGGACAGGTACCAAGATGACAGGTATTTATTTTGCATCTTCTATTTTAAGTGAGATACAACAGGAACTCGGTCTTCAAAATTTCCCAAACAAAACGTTTGTTCAGTAAAATATGTTTATATAGGCTGGAAAGGGCATACTTGCTTCCTGAGCAACACAAAACATTAGCTAATTTCCTGAAGGTTTGGGTCATTTCAAGCTTTTCATATCTTGAAAGGTCAACAGCTTCAGTAAAGAGGGGGAAGCCTGGGAGCACATGTCTGAGCAGCCTTCTCTGCAGCGGGTACACTTGGATGGTATTTATCTTGAGGCTATCAATATTTACAAAGAGCTGCCATAACATTACCCTGCTTTCACTGCATTAGTCATGAAGGACACAGCCCCTATCTCACAAAAACATGAGAGCAAACAGACTTCAACTCATGCTCATGAGCCACTTGCTCTAAAACCTCTTCTCTTACAATGATGCTTCATAGTGTCCCAGAACCTCATGTTGGAAGGGATCTCCAGGAGTCTCTAGCCAAGCTCCTTCCCAAAGCAGGATCAGCACTGAGGTCAGATATGGTTGCTCAAGACTCTTTGCAGTCTGGTTTTTACATCTCCAAGCAGTAGAGACAGTGCTCCCTTCCTGCCTCCCTTCAGAACTGTTGACCGCTTGCTGCATGCTATGTTGTCCATCCAGAAGGTGTTAAGGGGGTTGAAGTCCCTCAAAAACCACCATCAGCAATATAGGGACTGTAAAAGAACTGTGGCTCCCAAATGAAGGAGCGGTGAAGCCTTCACTATCACATCCCAAAGCTATCTAGACCACACTTGCTATGAGAAAGTGAGTCTCTCAAAAAAACACATCAAGGACATCGCTCCGAAGTGAGGATGCCATTACAGCCACAGCAGCTGTGGCCTGCAGGCATCTGGGGACACTTGCAACATGGGTGTCTTTGTTAGTACTGGTAACATTATCCTGAATTAAGCATAAGAAAGCATCCACATGCCCAGAGTGGCAACCTAGACTTGGAGGCCTGTGATGTCGGTCTTGCAGAACACAACCTGCCAACCATTTACTTATTTAACTAACTAAAAATAAATCCCAGGTGGAAAATTTCAGGTATCTCATTCCCACTTTTACATGTTTCATGGTCTATTTCTGCCTTAAATGTGAGACAGGCCAAAGGAAAATCCCAAGGTGAATCCTGCAGCTGACTGCTGCAGGGACAAAATTCCTCCCTTCTCCATGTCCATGCCCACTGTCTTTGCCATGAGCTGAGCAGTGTTCCCAGATCTTCCCCTCCTAAATGTGGAAGTCTAGGCATCCAAATCTACCTGCACATGTTTTTTTGTACGCAAAGAAGGTCTCTCATCCCAGCTAGCTTTTTTTCTCCATATCAGGGTTTTGCCATCTACCACTTAAAGCCACCAAAACGTGGTGTTCCCTAACCTCATCTTATATCTGCACCGTCACATCAGCATCTGCACCCGGTCCCCAGCAGCAGCAGGCAGCCTGGAGCGACCAGCAGAACCACTGCCAGCCAACCGAGCTGCAGGATTCCTGTTTGGAAAAACCAGGTCTCTCCACCTGCCTGTTTTAGGAACCACCTTGGAGCCTTCAAGTAAAAGAAGTTTCATCTGAGATGCAGCCCCAGAGCAAAACTGCAGCAGCCTTAGCAAACTGGCTGAAACCAAAGCTGGACACTCATTAAGAGCCACTCAGAGCACACTCAGCGGAGAGCAGCTGCCATCAGAGCAGCAGGATCTCCAGGCCCTTTAAAATCAGGCCACTTTTTTAGGCACCTAGGCCTAGATTTTGAAGTTTGTTCAGACGGTGTTGGCAGGGATGTGCACATCTCAGGGATCATTTCATTTTACCTCAATTTTCATTGCAAATCATCCGTGCTCATTCTGAAACAAACCTGCCACGAGGCAGAGCCGGAGACACTAAGGAAATTGCCTAGAACGCGATCAAAGGGCATCAGCGGCCGTCAGCGTCCACGGCACCGGCTGCGGCAGATGAAGAGATGGAGACGTCCGGAGCAGGTGCCCTGCTGGCAATGCTCTTGATTTATCAGGATTGCCATCATAATTATACTTTTCCTTAAATCCCCACCTCCTGGAGCCATGGGATTGTGAGCTTTTTAGATTCTAAAATGCCCTGATTCCCAAACCAGTGATCTTATGAGTTGGGGGGCACGGGTTTGATTCACACATTTTGGACACACAGGATCAGCTCAAGTATGAAAATGTGTTTTTCAAGCCATGCCAGGCTTGCCTTTAGGACTGCAATTAGCGCCCGTGTTTTAAAACCACCTCCAGGCAACCTTCAAGTTTTGCAGACATAATTACGTGCGGATACAAGGCTAGTGGCTATTTCTGAACAAGAGACCTTTAATGTTTCATTCTCCCGCTACATGTCCTGCAGTTTTCTGTAACCCCTTAACATAGATTTTTCCCAGCATTAATGGATCCTGCTCTTTGTTAGGCACCAAGTTACTCCCCAGAAGTTAGTTATGTTGCAAAAGTGGAATAAACAACTACTTATCCCACTTCCACTGTGCAGATCTAAAGGCTATGTTTAAAAATAAAATCAACATAATTCAAAAATAAATTAAGCCAAGTCTCAGGCTTACCCTGCTGCAACCAACATGGTTAGTGGCTAGAGGAGGGGACCAGGATTTCTATCAGTATCAGTCAATCTACTGCAATGGGAAGGCAGCTCTTGTCTGGACCATTTTTGCCAGGCAATCCGATGCTGAGATGCCCCAGGCTGAACATCACTCCTGTAAGGATGCAGGATTAAACATGGTCCCAATTAGGATATCATGGATGTGATGCTGCCAAACCAATTGCTTCTGTCTTAGCCCTGCCTCATTCTCACACAATCTGCAGGCCTGTGAATGATGCTGCTGATGTGACTCTGCAACAACACATCTCGAGTCATAGTGACAGCAGGACCCCTGCCACGTGTGGGGAGGTCACACCGCTTCTCCTGCGAGGAACGAGTCAGAGGATGCGTAACACCAAACATCTAGGCCCTTCATTTAGTATATGGGAAAAGGGGATGGACAGATCCAGGAACAAAGGGTCAAATTATGATCACACCTTGGCAGCAGAGGGAAAAGCAACACTTGGTTTTCTGCAGGCTGTAGCATCCTGAGCTTCCCAGGGAGCCCATGTGCTCTGGTACAGATGATATTTCCATTGCTTAGCTTGGGAGAGACAAATTCACAGCCTGAGCCACTGTATCAGTGAAATGAATTTTTTGCTATAACAAAAAGGTTAAACTGCAATAAAGTTGCCGAGGCACCAATTCAGCAACACAGATATATAAAGGCCATCTTTCTGCTAGAGTAATTTGGCCAAGCCATGCAGACTTTCCAATTTACACCAGCAGAACATGCAGCCCATGGTGACAGAGCCATGTGGACTTAGAGTACAAACACAGTGCTGACGGATGGCTACGTGTCCTGGCTGCTTGACAGACCTGAGTTAACCATCTGAGCCCCCAGGATGGATGGCTAGGGGCAAAAATATAACCGCTATCATCTCAACATTAGGATTGTTCTAAGTACTTCATTACTAAGTCATTACTCTCGGACATGGCCCCTCACAATGGGAAAAATGCTGATCTCATTTTATTTAATTGGAACAAAGTTCTATCGGCTGGCCATGAGCCCATTACTATAATTGATTTTTTAATATCAATATAAATATGTATTCACTTTGTTCAGCTACTTCCCTGTGCCTTGGAGGTTTGGGAAGAGGGCTGTGATGTCAGCTGGAGCTAGCAGTGCTCTGCTCTGCAGCATCATCCCTCACCCTTATGGATGCACTGGTTAATGAGCTGGATTCACACAGCGGGAGATGAGTGTTTTCTCTCTGGGCACTTACCCTCTGCAAGCTGCACATGTGCACTGGTCAACGTGAGAACAAGTGGGGAGTCATGTGAACTTGCAAGGCTTCTTCAGTGCAGGGGGAGCAGCACAGAGAGGCAATGAGCAATTCATGCCCAGAGATACATATGTCAAAGACAGGAAAGCATAGGAAAAGGCAGCCTGTTCCCTGTGCCCTGTCCTGCTTCCCACTCTGTACTCCGGAATATCTCTAAACTCTGGAGCAAGAGGAGGACTAGTTTATGCAAGGGATTTGTGTTTGATCACCAAAAAGCAGACCTGCTTAGAGAATAGGGGAAAAATGCATCCATGAGGCCTGTATCAAGGCTGCAGTGAGATGTACAGCTAATCTTTAGCATCTCCTAAAACCTCTCCATTTTGTGATTTAGCATAAAATATTGAGTTTGCACCATTAGGCAGCAGCTGAGAGATATCTGGCCCAGTAGCTTGTACAAGTGTGGCCTTAGGGAAGAAGGAATAAGAAATGCTGTTGCCTAGGTTTCCTCACCTCTGCTGCTTTATGACTTCTGTGTCCTGTGAAATTGGGTCCAGCAAAAATGAGCTGATAGTGTTTAGGCGCTACCAAAATAGCCCGGATCTCTCCAGGCGAGCAGCCCGCTTTTCAGCCAGTTCAGCCCCAGTCACTGTGACAGATTCCTGCTGGCAGGAGAGCCTCAGCTCCCCCAGGTGCTTGGCCATATTTGAGCTCTCCTGTCCCCCATGCACAACCTCCAACTCCCTTGACTTTCTCCCAGATTGAACCAGAGCAGCATTGCTCCCAGCCTCTCACCTTGCCATCATTGGTGACTGCAGCAAAGACAGTGGAGGAGTAAGGAGACCAGGCAACATCCCCAACAGCAGAATTCAGGTCGTAAATAAACATCGGAGTCCTGGAAAAAGAGACCCAGGGAAAAGAGCTCTTTCAAGCACATGCTGCTCTGGAGGTGAAACACAGATATAAACACTTTGACCCTGCAGCCTGGTGGGTTGTGCTGTTTAAAGGTGACCACAGAGGTGGGAGATGGGAGATTTCCCTAGGTCAGCTATCACCTGGTGCTTGAATGAGGGGCCTCAGAGAGAAAGGCGAAGCTGAGTATCCATCCAAACAGGCCTGGATGGGACCCAGTGTGCTGGGCAGAAAGGCAGCCCATTTCTTTCTTCCTGAGAGCACTTTGAAAGGTCTCTCTCCACACCCAGCAAGATGGGATCTCTCTGGTTAATAATCATACGGGAAAAAGTGAAATGTGGTTTCTCTCTCTAGACCTTTGAAAACACCATTGAATATTATAGCAATATGTATTGGCAACAGGAAATATTTGACTCTGACTGATTTACAACAAAATCAATTTCCTGATTGAAACCAGACGTTCCCCAACCACTAACTCTGAACTTCATTATGTTTATTTAAATGTTCTAATCCTTTTTCTTTTTCTTTCTTTCCTTTTTTTTTCTCCTCTCTGGTTCTCAGGAGGTTTCAGGTCCCTGAGGCCTCATGCCATCATATGACATTTCTTTGTATCATTGCTGCAGAGGAATAATCCTGTCACAGTAGACGCTCTCTGAAGAATGCCAAGTCCAAAGCAACGCAGTGATGTTTTGTGCTGGACTGTGCTGCTTGATCAGTCCTTGGGGCAGCCTATGTTAAACTTTTACTATTGTTACTCAAGGAGGGCAAATCTGCTTCTCCAGTCCCAAACAAAGCAGATAAGAAAGCAATTAATATTATATCCAGTGAACAGGGAAACTGTCACTGAAATCCAAGCAGAGTCAACATCTGCAGCCTGCATCTCATCCTGGATAAGGCTGACCTCCCTGCCCACACTGGGCCCCAGCAGGACGTACTTGATGGTGTGGTCCCAGATCTTGACCGTCCAGTCAGAGCTGCAGGAAATGAAGACTTTCATATGGTAGGGATTCCAGCTGACCGCGTCCACAGCCATGTGATGGGCTTCAAACACATCCAGAAACTGGCTCGAGTAGCATTTTGAACACTGCAATGGAAAAAATTAGTCAGAGTTAGACCTTCCTCTGGAGCTGGTATTCCTGGATAAGGATGTTTGTGAATATTTAGGAGGCCTCTTCTGGGCTGGCTGGGGAGAAGCAGGTAGTACCATGAGGTGCTACCAAAACTAAATCATTTAACGCATACTGTTTCACCCCACTGGCAGGAAAAACTGAGCACCTCTCTGCTGGACATAAGGACTGGAGCCCAAAATGTGCTGGATCTACAGCTGGAGCCATGCCATGGAGCCCATTGTCCAGCCTGGGTTCTTGGGGCATCTCAGGAGAAGCAGGGAAAAACAGCTGTTGTGCTGCACAGGAACGCAGCCCAATCTAGGCCATTTCTTATCTCCAATAGCAGTTAGTGGTTAGGACAAGCCTTAAGGAATGCAGTAAGAACAGAGTGATCCAGCCACATGCCATCAGCTCAGTCCTATGGGTCAGCACTTTGGGTCCACAGAATCACAGACGAGTTGAGGTCAGAAGGGACCTCTGGAGATCATGTAGCCCAAGCCTCCTGCTCAAGCACAGTCAGCTACAGCACATTTCCAAGGACTGTGCCCAGATGGCTTTTAAATATCTCCAGGGAAGGAGATTCCACAACCTCAGAGTAACTTGTCCCAGTGCTGTCACCCTCACAGTAAAGAAGTTTCTTCTCATGTTCAGATGGAATTTCTTGTGTTCCAGCTTGTCCCTGTTCCCTCTTGTCCCATCACTGGCCCCAGTGAGAAGAGTCTGGCTCCATCCTATCTACTTATGCATTGATGGGATCATCCCTCAGCTCTCTTTTCCTTTCAGGCTGAACAGTCCCAGCTCTCTCAGCCTTTCTTCATAGGAGAGATGCTCTAATCCGTCCCTTAGTCATATTAGCCTCAGCTTGTATGCCAAGGGGCAACCTGAATCTGGACTGTTGCATTTAACACTTGCAAAACTGCTGCTCTGTGATGAAGCATAAGCCACGGAAAGAACTGTCAGAGCCTCTGAGGGATTTGGGGACCATGCCGCAAGCCCTTTTCCTGCCACAGCCTGTGCCAGGAGCCTACCTCGTCACACAGTTCCTCCCCATAACCCTTCCTCTTACGACAGCACGTTGGGCCACCCCATAACACAGCTGCCAGCAGCCTGCAAATGTGCAAATTGTGCAAATCACGTGCAAATAGCCACCAGGAAGCACGTGAGTGTGAGCCCAGCAGCACCGCAGCCGCGGGTGCCAGTGCAGAGCAGGGGAGGGCAGCCAGAACCACAAACCATTTGTGATCCTTGGAAAAGCCACTTGCTGCAGGAGCTAAGGCAGTGGGGGGAGAAGCTACAATCTGCTGGTGTGCACTACAGGATGTGGGCCTTCATCCAGATCTCCTGACAGTCCTGCTTTACAGAGAAATGAGGTTATTGTCCCCAGCTCTCCCCACTGCAGAGGGGACAGGAGGCTGCTTTCATCAGCAAAAAGGCTCCTCCTCTGATAAGGAAGGTCCTTTTGGCTGGGTGCTGACACATGAGCCGTATCCATGCAGCAAGCACGGGTCTGATTCACTCTGCTTCAGCACAGACACTGTTAGGACTGTTAAGGACCTTTCTTTATTCCCTAATGAATGCAGCAACACATCATCTGCCAGAGCAGCAGGGCTGCTGAACTGTTACATGAATTTAATTCTTGCACACCAAAGCTTCACTGCACAGGCTCATCACGAGGCTTAATTGTTTATTACACATTACTGTTTATTACATTCACTATCTGTGTATTGGACTTTTTTTTTATTTCCAATGCCCATGTGCACTGGGACAGGTACTGAACCCAGGGTGCTAAACTGAGGTCCCTGTTAGAGTGGGAAGTGGAAACAAGAACACGGCTCAAGCCCCACTGAGATTTTCTGGCAGGAGGAGGTGGTGTCTGTAGCTTGCTAATAGTTTGGTGCATACTCTGTCATTGAGCTACAGTGCCTCTCTGCAATTATGGTAGGGAAATTTCCTTTAATGGCATGTTCCATAGCTTTACTTCATAATTCTTAATGCTCAGCCACTAGGGAAATTGGTACTTGGCATATTTTGAAAGTCACTTTGCTGGGAACAGACCAAATGGGTCATAAGTAATTTGATACAAGAGAGAAGGTGCTTTTTTAGCTGTCATTAGTCCCTAATACCTGAGGACTTTTTTATCAGTAAGATCCATACCAGGTCTGTCTGCATCCAACAGAGCTGGAATGCTCAAGGTTATGGTTTGAAACCCTTTTGGGTTTGAACCCTTGATCAGTGCAGGTTTGGGCACTGCAGCCTGCAACGCTCTGGGAGAGCTGATCCCAGCACAGGGTTCACAGTGAGCAAGCCCAGCCCAGCCCCACACAGGAACGGGAAAGCCAATTTTCTCAGAAAATCTTCATCCACCAACATGAAATCAGAAATGAAATGGGTTCTCTAGGGCTGATGCCTGGCTGGGATCCCTCATGGAAAAGGAACCCTGTCTGCCAGCTCCAATGCAGAGCCACACGCCATGCCCCAGAGCTGCCTGCCAGCCTGGCACCGTGTTCACTCTGACCTCTCCAGAGCGTTTGCTGATGTGTAAGACAGGGACTTGATCAAACCAAACCTGTTTGGAAGAAATGCCATTACCTTGAGAAAAAAATCAGAGCAAAGTGTGATTTTAACCACCAAAAGAGCTTCTGCACTGACTAGAACTGCTCGCAAAGTCTTTCACTTCTGGTCTGTTTTAAAATTGCAGTGATTATAGACACATGTCAGGATGAAAACAAACCTCTTGGAAAATGTGATGCCTAACTTCCAGGACAGCTTTGATAACAAGGAGCAGACTCAGGAAGCAGACTTGTGCTGACTTGTGCAGCTTGTCTGATCTTCTAGAGTACTGCCCAGATTTGCTGAGAGTGATTTTTTCCTATTTGAATAGCGGTAGATGCACATGAATAGTAAACAGCATTTTCTTGACAGTACAGTAAATCAGGAATGTGTCTACTACAGCAATATGGGAAATCAGTGACAAGATAATTGGTGACAGGATTACAAAACATGAGAGAGAAATACTGAAAAAAAATCCAAAGACATAAAACTTACTCATCATCTTCATTAATAGCACTTCAGTTTATACAAGGTAACACTAGCCTCACACAAAACTCCTGTATATCCATGGTGTATAGATAGTAATTCGTGTCCTCATAAGGCAGAGAGCTTCATCAGTTCACTAACAGACATACCATGAAGCTAGGTAACACTCAGACCTAATAAATCACCTTTTCTCAAAGGAGGTTTGCAACAGGCAGCAGCAGAAGTACTGCACAAGGCTGGCAGATCTGGACACACGGGTGACAGCTCATGACAAACTGCTGACACGGACATATCTGGTGTTGTTGATGAGGATCCTTTGAGCAACACCCAAGTTGTTGCCTTGGCTTTCATTTAGTGCCTTCTTGTAGAGATTTGTAATAGAAGTACTAAGATTTGTATAATGGCGTATGAACAGATACAAATCACAGAGTAGTTAAGGTTGGAAGGGACCTCTAGAGATCATCTAGTCCAACTCCCTGCTCCAGCAGAAACACCCAGAGCACGGGGCACAGGGTGGCATCCAGGTGGGTTTGGGAAGATCTCCAGAGAAGGAGACTCCACAACCTCCCTGGGCAGCCTGTGCCAGGGCTCTGTCACCCTCACACTGAAGAAGTTCCTCCTCACATGCAGGTGGAACTCTCATTACCCCTTGTCTTGTCACTGGCCATCACCAAGAAGAGTTTGCCCCCATCTTCTTTACATTCTCCCCTCAGGTATTTGTACATATTGATCAGATCACCTCTCAATCTTCTCTTCTCCAGGCTAAGCAGGCCCAGCTCGCTTAGTCTTTCCTCTTATGATAGATGCAAGTGAATGTATCAGGAGAAACAGCAGGATGGTAAAAGAATGTCCCTGTGTTCATGATGTTAACTGGCAGCAAATGCAGTCACTGAAGTGACCAGATAACAAGACAGAGAACAAACTGAGAAAAGATAAGGTGGTGAGAAGATGAGGAACAGAACTCAAGTCATAAAATACCCAGATAAGGGAAACACCTTTAATTAAGACTCAGACATGGTGAGAAAAGATACTGAGGCAAAACAATAGTTTTCTGCTCCTAAAGGAGCACTGGAAATCAGAGCATGTCCAAAACCGAGTCTGTCATTGTCAATGAAGGAAAACCCAAGATGAGGTGAAGAGAACTCAATAACCATCGTCCTTTGCCTTCCATACGACCACAGGAAACCCTGGATAGACCACAGGCACAAGTATCTTGGTGTAAAAGAACAAAAGAACTGATGAAATCAGTTTTGCTTAAAATAAAGAATACCTTTCCCTTCTATACAGTTTTGCATTGAGTTTTATTACATTCTCTGGCAAACTCACTAAGACTAAAAAAGATATTATCTTTCATGTCAAATCTCCTCACAAGTTTTCTGTTGAAGTCCTGATGACTAAGACGTAATTTTGATCAAAGAGCCACAACAAAGTCACAACAATGTCTCAATCTGAATATCAGGGACCATCATTTCTTCTAACAGAGCTAGACAGTTCCTCAACAGCAAATGAGATATGCAAAAAGGCAGCTTCACATTACAAAATCAAATTAATGCAGAAACAGTTTGTCCTCTATGTAAAAGGGCAACAGATAGGCCTGTGTGTAATTAAGATAAAGACTACTTGGCCTTAGAAACACTATTAACAAAATCATTTAAAAAAATTCACCATAATTGCTTCACAGCTAAAGGATCAACACATTATCATGCTATTTGTTGGCAAGCTCTGTCTCTGAGAAAAAAAAATGCATTTCTGAAATTCATTTTTCAATTTATTTAATAAATGATTTATAATATGGCCTATGCTTGATCCTTGACTTGTAGAGCATATAGCAAGTCTGTCCCTCTTACCCAATACACATGGCAAATGCTGCAGAGACCTGGGCTCTTGGGGTCCTGAAGGCCGGGGCTGCTGCGGATACTGTGGAGAGCTGCTGTGCAAGGCACTGGAGATTCCTCTGCCCTGTGATATTCCATACAGTCTGGTGGAGGACTGCTCCTCCCTTCTTATGGGAATACCTGCAGTGCATGTGGGAGTGCTACACAAAGCAAGAGTGGTTCAATGCTCTCCTAAGGCTCTCCAATACCACAGGAATGTTTTCTTCTTGTCAGTAACCCTGAAATTAGCCTTAACACTAACAAAAGTAAAGTTCCTAGGTGATGGATTTAAGAAAAATGTGAGAAGTATCTGTGTTTATCAACCCAAGATGTTGCATAAATGCCTACACGGCTTCATTGTTGGGCTTATTGCTTATGCTAAACCCCATCCTAAGCATAGTTTCACTACAGATGATCCAAGGCAGGTAGACCTACAGCCTTGTCTGTACAAACCCTGCCAAACTATTGCTATTGAATCTTGCTCCACTGAGGAGTCCTCTTGAATGTCATCCTGAGCATTTCTCCTGAATGGTTACTCACTGACCCCACTTGACATACACAGTCATATACATTGGGGTCATATACATACACATCCCTCATGTGCCTAAGCACAAGGTTAAGTTGAACATGTGGTTCATTACTGCATCTTGTCAGGACAAGATACAACAGGACCAAACAGTCTGGAGAGCAATACCTAGGGAGCCAACTCTTGTGGGTGATCTGCCAGCTCTGAATATCTGTCTGTGATTAAACAGCTGCTTTGTATCATGAAAGCATGAGCAAAAAGCCATCTCACCTTCCCCATTGTCCTTCACCCTGGAAACCCCATTTCTCCCATTTTCCTCTGTGTCTGTCTTGTCAAAGGAGAGCAACTCAGAAAGACTCACAGCCTGGCAGAAGGCAGGACTTAGATCAGCATTGACCCTCTAGAAAGGATAAATACCTGCTTAACTTTATCTTGCCTAAATGATTTATATTGATTTCAGAATAGGATTTTCTCTGAGTTCTTTTCCTCTCTTTTTTTCCTTTCTTTCCCCTCTGTTTTGCAGGTGGGACATGGGGAGGGAGCTCACAGCCACCTCTAGAGAGGACTGGCTGGTTCTGCTCTGCAAGTCGGTCCTGCTGATGGGAAGCCCCCCCTCGCTGAAGGGCTGTGGCTACAACATTAATAGAGCCCAAAAGCAAGCTCAGAGGAACCCTGCACAAACAAAACTATTATGAGTAACACGAGCTGTTTCTGGCTTTATTTGCAAGCCTACAAACAACAGAGCTCAAAACTTTCTATTTTTAGCTTGGTTTCTCAAGAAACCGCAATGGTTGCGGCCTGCTGTCTGCTTGTCTCTCCTCCCAGACAACTTTTGACCTTGCAATTTCAGCCAAAGCTGGCGGTGCAAGGGCCTTGGCTGTATTAAGGTCTTACACATTTCATAAAACGAGGTGGCCGTGAAGAGTGCAAACACCCAGGCAGTGCCTAACCCGGAGAAGGACAACTAAAACCCAGCTGCTGCCCTGTCCAGCGGGCAGGAGCTGGCTGAGCACTCCCAGCCCAGTGGTGTCAGGCTGCAGGTGGACACTAGAAGGGAGGTAGCTGGCAGTGTCTGAGCAAACCAAAGGCTACAGCATGGCATTAAAATGGGGGAGCATGGGGGTGACCAGAGGGAGAAAGGATCAGAGGAGATGGCAAAAAGCTGGAGGTGAGGTCAAGGGGAATGCAGGGCTCAGAGGAGGTCCAAGGCTGTAACTGTGGGAGGGCCGCAGGACACCAATCCATAGGAAGAAAAGGTTTCATTAGCCTCATTGCTCAGGGGATAACAGGTCTAAAAAGAAAAGAGCGATTTTTCTCCTGCCATTTCTCCGCAGCCGTAAGGGCAGAGGATCGATGCCTTTTAACTCCAGCTCTGATCAGTTGGTACCTCACTCGCACAGCTGCAGTCTGCACAGCATTCTGGGTTGCAGTTTGCATGAAAAACGTCTGCAAAAAGGTCTTAATTAGGTCTGTGCAGAGAGCTCCTCGCAGGCCTCTGGGGCTCTACGTGGTGTTGGGCTCACCACAGGGATCTGAGGGCAGGCCTGGCCTCTGAAGCTGTACTTTGTTGCTCTCTGAGCAAACAGTTCAGATGATGAGCCTGAAAGACGAGCAATGGCAAGGGGATGTAAAGCACGAGACAAAGAAACTCTTCTTACCTTATAGATCTTCCCTTCTTCAGTACCAACGAGGAATAAATAGTCTATCTTTTTGTGAAAATCAAATGACGTCCCGCAGCCTATTAACAGAAGAAAGGACCGTGAGACAGGAGACTGGGTTCAGCTGCCCCGCACACACTCCCTGCCTGTGGCTCACACACGCTGCCAAGGTTTTCACAAGCGATTTATTAGCCAGACGCCCCCAGCAGAAATCAGAGCTGCTGCTTCTGAACCACTTCCCGAACTGCCCCTGTCTCCCAGCCGACAGACAAAGCGAACAAGCGAACCAGGAGAAGGGGGAATGGACTTGGAGGAAGTTGCGCAGCAGGTTGGGAACAGGCTGCAGCTCCCCGAGTCCCTGCCCCATGCCCATTAGTGTGAGCTGCCTCTGCTGCCGGTGACAGGGATCAGCTGGTGAGGAGATCTGAAGCCTGTGGAACCCTGAGGCTGCCTCGGAGAGTTCAGAGTGTACAAAACGTCACCCTAAGCTGACACGACTCGGTGGTTACAAGTGCCTCCCAGGTGGCCTCTGCAGCCCGTGCACCTGAGGGACGATGTCTCTTGCTCTCTGGGGTCAACCTCAGACACCCAAGCAGGTAACAAAGCTGTTCAGAAGCAGAGCTTCTTTTCAAAGCACCGCCCACAGTCCAAGAGACACCAGCTTCTGGTTCAAACTCGGACTTTTTCTTCTGTGTCACCTCTCGGCCGCTGCTAGGTACAGAAAAGACATCAATGTCGCACTCTGCCCTCAGACATGGTTGTTATTCCCGTTCTCAACCACAGTCGCACCAAACCTCCCGCTAGGTTCTAGTCTCTGTCTTTGATCCCACAGTCCCTAAGCTCTCCAAGAGTCCAACTTCTCTTGACACCTTTGTGGAGCTCCAGAAAACAGTGGTCTCCACACAACAGGGGAAGCAGTGAATGTTAATAGCGTTTAGCCCCAAACTGGGATTTATTCTGCTATGAATTTTAAGTGCCTGGTACAAATGCAAGAATCATCAGGAGTAGGTCTGCCTTCTAACAGAATATTAGTAAAGAACAGATCTTTTTTTGCTTCCTTGCTTTTCACAAAAATATAAATGACTTCCTACGCCTAAGAGCATCCAGAGAGGAAATGTCATATGATGCCTCCGTGTGTCCTTTTCACCCTTCACTAAGAAGCCGCTTAGCAGGCTCATTTTTGTAAAGCCAAAAGCAAAGGGTGTGCTTTGTGAGCAAATCTTCCACTGAGTGCTGAAGCCCCTACCTGATTTCAAAAGCCCTGAATCGAGCAGTGTTGTGACCTGCGTTTTGCACAGGCATCGGTCACAACAGGCTGTGACTCTGTGACATCTCTGGGCTTCTGCTCCCGGGGCAGGTGCAACAGCATCCAAGCAATCCAAATCACAATCTCATTTCCATTTTAAAAGAAAAGCCACAGGAAGTAAAGGCAGATCGAAAGAGACATTCCATGAGGGGCACTAAGCACTGAGAACCCTCAGGAGCTCAGGAGCAAGGGTCACGCTTAACTGGAGAGGTCAGAGTCTCCACCACACTCTGCCTGCAGGACAAATGTATTAAAGAGAGGAAGGAGCCCCACACTCCTGCAGGTCCAAGGGCAGCGTGCAGGCAGGTATCAGTGCTAAGATAGCACTAATCACTTATGGAGAAGGTGCCAGGCACAGGGGAAGGGCAGTGGCTGCATCTAGAGACACTATCCAGGAGCAGACACGATGGTGGCGGGAGGGTCCTGGCAGAGGACGGGGTATCTGAGGAGTGCTGCAATAATCTGGGGCTGTGGATCAGCAGGGAACCCACACGAGGGCAGACATCAGAGGAGGAGCAGGGACAAGCAGAGAACTTTCTGCAAAGGCAGTCAAAAACAGCCTTATGTCTTAAATGTTTAGGGGAAAAAAAAAGCAAAGCCCAAAGGAATTGTTAAGGTCGTTTCAACCCGGCAACGCGGTCTGCATTTTTAACATTTAAATAGATTGTTAAATATTCAAGGCAAGTCTTTGAAAATCTATTTCCTGGTAACATGAACCAATAATCTCAAAGCCCCTGGGAGTTTTGCACGGTACTGCTTTAGCTGGTCTCTCCTAAGCTGCGTGGCAAAGACTTCTCCCAACATACACTGCCCATCAATTATTAGCCTAGAAAGATGGTAATCCTTAAACACAGAGCAAGTGCCTTCTGCAAACCCAGGCCATTGCTGAGGCCAAAAGAGGTATTTTCTATGGGATATAAGGGATTTTTCAAGGCTCCTGTGCAGCTTAAGGCCTCCAGAGCTGACCCATCCCATCCTATCTCAGACACAGGAGGGACAAGATGAGGAGATTCAGCCTGTCTCCACTTTCTACAGAGGGAATCTGGCTGGCTCAGAGCAGCTGCTGAAATCTAAACAGCAAAAGCCAGGTGCGCTGTGTGCCACCACAGGCCACTCAAGCAGCAGGAACAGGAGAGAGCAGAGATGGCTTTTCATGTGATTTGGCTAGTCCAGACCAGAGTCTAGTAGGAGCAAAAAAGTGGATTTAGCTTTGACAAATACAGGTAAAGCCCTATGTCTTGTCCATACTAGGATTTCACAGCAAAACCAGCCATTTATTTTTTGGAATGGATGTTCATCTCTTCTGCAAGCAAAGCCAAGATTCAAACAGCAAACCTTGACCTCAGTGACCTCTTCTCCAGACAGATTTTGCCCTACTACATGATCAAAGCAAGGAGGAGTAACCTTTCTTTAGCTCCTTTGCAACTCACTACCCCAATTTAATTCTCCAAAATGACTGATTAGAGACTTCGTGTCAGTAATTGCATGGCAAGCAGCATGGCAAGGACTTGGGTTCCTACCAAGCGTTTGCAGCTGTAGCCCCTCCGGCCCCTGCATTGTTGCTCCTTCTACTGACAGCTTGATGACATCTGTATGAACCAGCTCATTCTGCAGGCAGAGGAGATTCCACATGAATAACAGGCTTTACAGAAACAATACAGAGAGATTCAGCACTTCAAAATGGCAAGTTTTAAGGAGGAATTTTAAAAAGCAGTCCCTAAAAGCTGTCTCCATGCTCACAGTTGGCTCCCGGAACCTGATGCTTTGACACACAGGTGCTTAGGGCCACCACAGCACCTCATGCAGGCACATGAAGCTGACTTGGAAGAGCTTTCTGGTCAACATTTTCAAGTGTAGGTTGCTACTGTGAGCCTAAATCACAGTGGTAAGTGAAACCACCACCCTGCATGCTCTGAGATATGTACTGCATGTCACCACGGGGCCAACTAAAATCACACTCTTCCTCTGCTAAGGAATGGTAACTTACCACCTTGCTGGTCCTTGCATCTTATCACCTCCCTATTATTACCAGAGCTGCTGAATGTCCCATTATTTACAGGCTCAGAGGCTGTGGGATTCAAATGAAAACTTCATTTCTAGCAAGCAGCTCCCCCAAGGGAAAAGTGCCCTATTCTGTTGTTATCCCCAGAGCTCCAAAGAGCTCTCATTGCAGGCCAGGACACCACCGTGCTGACTGCAATGCAAACACAGAGCAAAAATGCTGTATCCCAAAGAGTTTATAGTCCAGGCAGCAGAGAAAAAAAAATGCAGATGAAAACAGAATAGATACAATATGGGTGAGTACGAAAAAACAACGAGAGGGCAAAGATCCATTCTTAGACTAGCTTTGGGAATTAGAATACTGCTGCAGAATGGAGTTAGTTGTGAATATAAGAATACCCTGGGGCTGATAAAAAGAACAAAGAACTAAAGATTAAATTAGTGAGCGGTGTGGGCTGAGGACTGGATGTTTTCATGAATCTGCAGATTTCCCACTGGAGTACTGTGAGAACAAAACATAAATTTTTAGCTCAGTGAAACAGGCTTCGGTTGGAGCTTCTCTAAGCCCAGAGCAGGACTCAGGTGGATAAGGAGATTCTGCTTGGGAAAGTCAATCCAGGTAATTTTGTGTTAGGGAAGGTGAGTAAAGACCTTGTGAACATCTACCTGGTACCGCAATTCGGAGGAGACCATGCTGTGGCACTTGTACTGTGTTTTGGGTGGATAAATTCAAAGAAGCTCCAAGAAAGTTCAAAGCCTGTAAAATAATTTACCTCCTTCTCATTAATTTGCGCTGCTGCATACTCATGTGCCCTTGCAGATGATGGACAATGCTGGAGGAGTAATTTTTATTTGTGAGCAGTGAGAAGCAGCCCAGACTCCTTCAGCCTTAGAGACCTTCCTTCTGTTTGCGACTCTTCTTGCAGAATGTGCGTTAAATTCACAAGTGATGTGTAAAAACATGGTCATATAAACTGAAAAGTGGGTGAGTTGGAAAGAGAAGTGCCCAGGGTGTCCAGGAGCAGAGCGCATATCACCTGCTGCTCACTACCTATCTGAAGAGACCTGATTTGGCTGCTGTGAGCACAGTCAGGACGTGCTGAGCAGGCTGCTCAGACACCAAGGTCTGATGGCTCTCCAGAGGGCACTTGCCTCCATGCAAGCTGTATCTGGTGGCCATGTGAGCCCCATCCAAGCAGCAACTTTGGAGCTGCCCATAGCTGATCCTCCTGATGCACCTAGGGGGTCCAGTAGAAGCTCTACTCATCAGACACGTGCTCTGCACTGCCCTGATAGGTGCTAGCACAGTCAAAGTTTGTCCAGGTAGAAGGATAAACAACATGGATTGTCCAGGTAGAAGGATAAACAACAAGTCCAACAAGTTGGACTTGATGATCTTGAAGGTCTTTTCCAGCCATAATGATTCTGTGATTCTACGAGGCTGTCACTCTATGCATGCACCCTCCTGGGACCTTTCTTCGCAGATCCCTCACAGCACCTCCACCTGGCCTAGGCCTCCTCCTTGGGCAGCTTCTGCACCCTATCAGCTCAGCAAAGGATCATACTCGCCTGCACTATTGTGCTGTTTTCATTTTGTGCCCAGCGTTGCAATCCGGAAAGCGCGTCTGCTCCAGGGGCTGCTTATCGCCCGAGCCGCTCACACATTCCCCGGGGTAACCAACCTGCCGGCAGCCTGGCCTTCCAAGAACAGGGAACAAGACCACGTCGCCGCTGCCTGAGAATTGCCAAGCACTCTGCAAGCATTAGTGAATGAGGCCTTGCAGCTGCCTATTTCCCTCTAGTCATTACTATTCAAGTAACGGAGGAGCCCAGAGCGATCGTCTCGGTTCCTAACAGAGGCAGCCACTGTGGTCAGGGCTCATGGGCTGCTCCTAGCTACCATGTGACAACAATTCGATGCAAATTTGGAGCGGGATCTGCCAAGTTTCCAGCTGGAAGTCAGAACGAATTTGTTTGCGTTGTGCTCTCAGTGTTGGAAAGTGTTATCGGTGTTTGAAGAAGCTTTTCTTCTGGATGGTCCTTTCAGAGAGATTAATGAAGCTCTCCTTCATTTATTCCATATTTGTGCTGTGCTTTTCCAAACAGAAGATCTGCAGTTTCTTTAATTTTATTCTAAATAAAAATCATAGATCATTCTTCTGTAAAACCATGCAGAGTTTGAGCTGGTTGTCCACCCCTCCTTGTTGGGTACAAAACTAAGAGCTAATGAAAAGCCCTCTTGGTTCAATCTTTGGCTTTCGCTGTCAGTCTCAGCCCAGGAAAAGAAAGCTGCCAGCATATAAAAATGTGGTATTTCAACCCTTGCCTGCTAAGTACATAACAGCTCTGCTAACTTTGCTTTAAAAAAAAATCAAAAACCTGACAAAACAGAGCTTTCCACATGGTCAAATTGTGGCCAAGCTTATAACTGAAGTATAAGGAATGAGTAGAAATGGCATGGTGCTAAGCACATCTCAAAACTCACCCTAGGGACAGTTAAGTAGGTATCAGAACGTGTTCGGAGGACCAGAAATAAACAGTTAATGATGTGAAAACACAGTTAAGCATATATGAATGAGAGAAGTAAGAGCAAAAGTGTCTCCATCAGGTGAACTGCCATCAGAGTCCATCTGCACACTCATAGGTTTTCCCGCTGTGGCATTTCTCTGAAGTTTACTCCAAAATGTGACAGCCTGTAAGCGTAGCAGGCTGAGCACACTCTGTTATCGAGGCTCGCATGATAGTGGTAACTTGCTAAGTCACTTTAACTGGATGTATTTAACTGTATTATCTATATCCAGAGGTTTGTATTACCTACTTCATCTTCTGATGTTCACTTGGAGGTTACCTGTCCCTGCCTAGGAAGCTCTGAGAGCTAATGTGGGACAGGGATTAGGGATTTGGGATTTATAAAAGAGATTTTTGTACCTAAAGTTGCATATATGAACCTGGAGGAGTTTGCAAAGGAACTAATAATCAATGCATTCTCTTGCTGTGTTCATTGCAAGAAGATCCGTCTCCCTGTATAACTATGGGACAAAATACACAGTTAGAGATGAACTCCTGCCCTTGGTGGCAAGGCCTAAACAGACAAGCTTTGAGAAGTTTGGTATACATAGTTGAAAAATGAGCACCCAAGGATGTAAATAATTTTTTTTGCTTTCTGGGAAATAATTGAATTTTGAATTCCCTGTATTTTAGGGTAATTCAATTATTTGCGAGGTACAAGATTTGAAATCTGTGTTAGATCAGCTAGTCAGTAGAGAAAAACAGTGAGATTCAGAGACATAAGCCTAAGGTTCATTTAGGGACATCTATCAAAGCATGTGCTGCAATAAAACAAAAACAAACAAAAAATGATCAAAGACAGAGCATGAAATGTTGTGCCAGCTCTGGGGAGGAGGTTGTATATTCCCACTCCCATTCGGAACTGAAATCTTTCGGGAGGCATTTTAGAGCATTCTGTCCTGCCTCTGGGTCACTCTCCCGCGACAAGGAAGGCTTCAGAGCAAGGATCCATCTTGAATTCCTGCAGCTGCAAAGCAGGAAAAAGATCTCTGACCTCCAAGGCTGTGGAGCTCTGTTCGGTGGCCTGCAGCTGCAGGCAGGATGAAGGCAGCCTCAGAGCAAGGAGCTGCTGGTTCTGCCTATTTCCAAGTTTAACATGGAGCCCCAGACCAGCTGGAGGCCAGCAGCAGCAAGCGGGCACTGCAAACTATTGCTGCCACTTTGCAAACCTGACTCATTACAAATACTAATAAATCTAGTGCATCATTGAGCTTTAGAGGCAATTGGCTTTAGTTTGTCTGGAAAAGGAAATTGCCACCTACCGCTTACCTTAACTAAAGTCCATGACACTATCCGCCCATCCGAGGAGACAGAGAAGAAGTTCAAGTTGTTGTCCATGTCATCCTTCTGCCATTTGACCTTAAAACAAGCAAACAGGCCCAGTCAGCACCAAGTATTCAGTGTTAGTGGCACAGAACTGAGTCCATTCAGCAGTGTCTTCTCCCATGCTTCCTGAAGAGGATGTGATTTTCACCCAAGACGCCTGATGCTGGGCATCTCACAACTTCCACAGGCAGGTCTCCTGCCGCTCAGGTGTGGGGCTCCAACGTTCCTGCAAGGATGCTGGTGAGAGGGCAGAGTCCCACACCTGAGGACTCGGTGTCTAACAGAACCAGCTGCCCCACATCGACAGGAGCACTGCTGTCAAGGTCAGGTCTTTTGAGGCAGCCGAGATAGGCAGCACGAGACACTGCACCGTCTCAGAGACCCCAAGCTTACTCCAAATACCAGTGGTAGTGGGGAGTGCAAGGGTCTCCAGAGCAGGACATTTACATAGATAAATGATTCCTTTCTGCAAATTAACACCCATTCCATTTGGCTAACTACTCCAAGCACAGTGGCACGTGGTTCCCCTTCAGTCTGCCCATGTCCCATTAACTTTCTGTCCCTATGTGTGGGGCAGACAAGCCTTGGCAGGCATTGCATGACAGGCGTCTGTAGGGCCCTCCTGCCTAAGGGGGATCAGAACACCCCCTTTAAAGCTGGAATCCTTCCTACACCTTCAGAGCATCTGTCTGCCTGGTACAGAGATTTGCCTTTTGACTACGACAGCTCAGCAGCAGAGATTAGAACCCAGATAAATGGCTTACAGTTTAGGAGAGACATTTCAGTTAGACCAAAAGCACTAAGAACGCTCAATTCCCACATCTAGGAATTCAATCAGACTGAAGGGAAAAGGATGACTTGTCACTGGGCCTGTCAACATACCCTGGTGTTGGCATCTCTCAGTTTAGCACAAGCACTTCCACACACTCTGTCCAAGTTTTTAAAGGTGCATTTGCTCCTGTCCAAGCATTGCAGAAGATAACATTTTCTTAAATGTAATTCATGATAAATAGACATGATTATCGTGGTGCTTGCCAAATGCTCCATCTATAACCAGTTATTTACCTGGAGCCTCTTCCAGAAAATAAGCAGCATTTGTATACTTTAATTATACAGACTGGATATCCTGATACTACTTCCTTGGGAGAAATAGTGTTATTTCTATTTTAGAAAATTGTTTATACTAGGAAGTTCTGTGGAGCATGAAAATTCAGCAAGAGACTCACCTAAGAGTAATTAATCCTCTAGTGAACAGGTTTCCTACCTAGAACACACTGTTCTGAGGAAAGAAAAACAAAATTTTAAGGGAATCCATCTGAGAATGAATTGAAATGCCAGTAACACGGCCACGAGAAACAACCGAAGAGTCTCAAGAAGCAAACAGCTTTAAGCATCCTTGCACCAGAGAAATAATAAGCTTCTCAGTGGTTCCTTCTGCTATCTTACCTTAGCAGAGTGGGACGATACAATACAGCCCAGAATAAAAGGGCTAATGAAGTAAGAGTTAGTTCAATGGTGCACGTAGGGAACAGCGATTTCCAAGGCTGGAATAGTGCCATAGTGCACAAAATGTGCTGGGTATCTATTCCATAGACATGTTCCTGGGATCATGACCCAGTACTGACAGTGATGGTCACCCGTGGGTGCTTCAGATGAAGGGGTTAGCAAAGTGAGGATTTTTAATCCAAAGTGAGAAATGTGGTGTTCAGAAGACCTTGGTTACAAACACAGGACCTGGGTGTCTGATGTGAGGCACTTAAAAATTATGTTTCAAATTTGAAGGGTTTTTTTCAACGTTACTCTAAACCTGTCTGACAGTAAGATCTTTCTATTCATATATCCAACATATCTCTTCCCTAATTCATGTTCTCCTATCTACTCTCTCAAATGTTTTTTTCAAATAAAAACTTGCCTTGAAGCAGGGGAAGCAAATTCCTAAGGCAGTATCATCTTCTGTGAAAAGACAATGCCAGGATTTTGCCATCTGAGCTTGGGAGCAGTTAAGTGCCTCAATAGCCTTTATTGTTCCAGGACCATACCAGAGAAAAAGCAGATCCCAAGCACCCAAAACCTCCAGATTAAACCCAATAACCACCTGAGCTGCACAGGAAGGAGAACTGCAGGCCACACACATGTGCTGCAGTCAGTGTGGGTCTGAGCCCATCCTTAAGTCTAGAGCCACCATCGGCACCACTTACATGATGCATGTGCTTGGGTCACAGCTGGTTGAGGTCCTCTCTGAAGAGAGGCCCAGCACAGCTACCATCAGAGCTGGGCTCTCATTAGTGAGATGTGCTCAAGCTGGGCAGGGGCAACTGAAGCTGATTTCACTGCATCTGCTCTTGCTAAGCACAATGTAGATGTTTTGTTCCCGAGCCAGAGCCAAGTGACAGCCCAACACAGCAACAGAAAACGTGTGGATGAAGGCCCAGCTGCTGGAGTCCTTCCCTGATCCCACTGTGTGAACGCTGCCTGGAGTCCTCATGCCTGCACTAACACAACCTGCAGTAGTAAAGACCTTTTCCCCAGCATTTGCACACCCCAACGACTCTCCCCAATGGGGATCCAGTCAAGTCTTTCACCATCACAGCTCAGTTAGGTTTAACAAACCCCTTCACCTCATCCATTGCACAGACCGCTGATGTCAACTGCCCCAAGCAGCCAAGTGGGCTCATTTGCTTGGTGTGCTCCTGCTCCTATATTCAAAACAGTCAACAGAAGTCAACAGATTCAGTCTGTGATGTTTTTTCTCCTGATCTCTAAATACCCTGAATACCTATTAGAGTAATTAACCTTCACGATCCTGCAATAACATTGGGCATCTGCTCAGAATTGGTGTTTTTTCTACTCCCAGAGGCCTGTGAATATGTCACAGCCCCCTGTCATTAGCAAAATCCAGGCTGTGTGGGGTGGCACATTTGACAAGAGCACTAGGCAACTGTGTGTATGGCAGGAAAAAGTTATTTCTTTTCCAAAGCTTATGATAACAATCCTGGGATTTTGGCTGCATGATACGATTCAAAGGAAAAGTTCAGTTATGATATGGTGAAAGCAAAGAGCCACATGAGAAAGAAAAGTGTGTGTAAACAGTGGAACTGAGACAAGTAAACATAATGGTGCAAGTCACTCGCTGTGACAGATCATTGTGGGATCTGCAATACAATCAATGAAGACTGCTCTTTTTTGGAATATGATCTTTAACCTGACTGGTTTTTGCAGTGCAAAAATAGCCTGTGAAACTCATTGCTATGAGGTAACTGTGAGAAAAGCCTAGCACTTTCTTCTTTTTATTTTGTGAAGCTTTTTTTTTTTTTTTTTGAATAAAGTTTGTGCAAATCTGTTCATAAAAACATAAAGGTAGAAATCTACAATTTCACTGCTATGTACAGAGGGTTAGCAGGGCAATAATCCAGTAATTCACAGCAAGAGAATACTATCATCTTTGTGGACAGCAGCTGGTAGTGGCTCCCGTCCAAGGCAGGAGATTAGTCCATTTATCCGATCTGATTTGAAAATTCCCATCTTTCTGATGTCATTTCTATATAAGAAATAACGGATCGGTTTTCACGGCGTGGCAGCCACTAGTCCCTGACATTAGCAAAACACAATTGGTCAACATAGTCCCCACCACGAGGCTGACTTGGCTGCTTTCTTGTCAGGAGACACCTGCTATTGCAAACACAGATCCCTCCGGCTGCCTCTCCACTTGCCAAAGCCCGACCGTGGGGTGCAACACACAACAGATGCACGACGACTGCTGAGCATTTCCTTCTGTCCTCGTTAATTATCTTCCATGGAGCCCTTTGCTGGAGCTGGAGGAACAGGGCTCGACTGTCTCCTAAGTCAAAGACATGAGTTTGATTGTCCTAACACAAAGAAATGAGTTCTGGTCATTCAGTAATTAAACGAGTAAAAGGTCTGTCATAGGTAAAGGGGAGAGACAAGAGCATTAGTGAATCTGCAGGACCCCATTATAGGGACTGTTTGGGTAAGACCTGCTCAGACACCTCCAGCAGGTGACAATCTCCCTGCTGCTAAAGATCCCTGTCAATGTGACCTAGAGACCAATTCCTTCCAGTGCCAACCTGGCAATCAGCGTGGCCCTCAGCAAAGCCACCATGGCAGTGTCTGGGTGGGAGGGGACCAAAGAGGACTTCTATCTTGCTCTGATGCAGGATCAGATACACTGCTACCACCAGTGACAATAAACCTGGCCTGTTCTCACAAGCTTCCAACCACAGGCACTTCCTGTGAGATGACTTTATTACATTATTATTGTTATTGTATCTATTACTGTAGTGTTGGCTGTATATGGGAAGTCTCCTTTACCGCAAATCAAGCCAATTACTCCTTGGCATCTCTCCTCCGTTCATTCCCCTCTTGAAGCAGTCTTCAAAAGGACAAGACAAGTTTATAGTGTCCCTCCTCTTCTTTCTCAGACAAACCCCATGACTTCAGTGTTCCTTCCAGATCCTGCTCTCCAGGCTTTCACCCTTGCTGCTCCTGTCCTTCAGCCCTTCCCTGCAGCTGGAAACACGCTCTGTGGAGCCTCTCCCAGGCACGAGCAGGCAGCAGCTGCAGCCTCCTGTATCTCAATTCCTGCTAACACAGCAGAATGGCACGTGTCTCTCACCAGTATTGCATTGCTTACCATGGGCTGGGATCTGCCATGACTCCCCTTCTGGCACCCCGCTGCCTAACCAGCCATTCCCTGTTTTGTATCCATGCATTTAATTTCCCCTTCCTAGATGTAGTGTTTGCGCTCGCCTTTATTGAATTTCATCACATTGATTGCGGACCTTTCTTCCAATTTATCAAGATCATTTCGAACATAATCTCGTCCAGCAAAGTGCCCTGTGCTCCCAAGGGGGCTTCCTTATTCTGTAATTGGAGTTGTTAATGAAAGTATTGATCACAAGAAGAGGCTGGACCAGCAATTGGAAGGTCTCACTTGAAGCATCTTCACAGTCTGACAGCAAGGTCTAGATAACTGTTCTCTGAGCACAGTGCCTGAGCCACCCGAACAACGTCTT